CCTCCCCGCGCCCGCCCCGGCCGCTGCAGCCTAGCTGCTGCCCGCCGCCGAGCACACGGAGCTGCACATGGTCAGGTTGGAGGCCTCGGCCTCGGCCTCCGTCTCGGCTTCGTCGGTGGTCTCGGGGGGCAACACGGACTCGCTCAGCTGCTCTTGGCTCTTCTTTAGCCTGTGTGGAGACAGGAACCAGGCGTTACACAGAGTGCAGCAGGAGGGGTGAACGGGGTCTGCAGCGGCGAGCGTGCCCTGCTCCTCGAGAGGTGCCCACAGCACACCCATGGTGAAGAGCAGGAGCACGGAGCACAGGCACAGGCATGACAGGGACTGTAGTACCAGCAAAACCCACTGGAACCTCTGCAATCCTCCACAACGCCCTGCAAGGCTTCAGCCCACCCAGACCTCAGCACAGGCTCCCTGCCCTGCATCACCTCCTCCATAAGGCTCCCTCCTGCTCTACTTCTGAACGCAACACTCCCAAGGCAGTGTGCTGGAACACTGGGGACAGCAGCAGCCTCAACTCCAGCACTTTCACTGCCCACTCATGCCCTGCAGGGATTTTAGCACATTCCTTGCCATCATTTTCCAAAACATAGAATCACAGAATCACCCACGTAGGAAAAGACCTTTAAGCTCATCCAGCCCAACCTTTACCCCAGCAGTGCCAAGGCCACCACTAACCCCTGGCACTGAGGCCTCGGCTCCACGGGCTGTGAACACTTGCAGGGACGGTGACTCCAGCCCTGCCCTGGGCAGCCTGTTCCAATGCCTGAGCACCCTCTGGGCAAGGAATTGTTCCTCAGCTCCAGCTCAACCGGCCCTGGGGCAGCTTGAGGACGTTTCCTCTTGTCCCATCCCTTGCTCCTTGGGAGCAGAGACCAGCCCCCTCCTGGCTCCATCCTCCTGTCAGGCAGCTGCAGAGAGCGATCAGGTCCCCCCTGAGCCTTCTCTTCTTCTAAAGCAGGATGGGTGGGAAGGTGCAATGGGGGAACTGAAGCAGTGTCCCACACGTGTTAAATCCCAGCAGTCTCTCTGCAGCATGTTTTATTTAATGGCGGGGATTAATAATCCTTGACCTTTTCTCCCTTTTTGGTGAGAACTGCTTTTCACACAGAGGCAGCAGCGAGCTCCTCAGCTCACGTCACCCAGGGCTGAGCTGGCAGTGAGATGCTCCCAGTCATCAGGCATCAGTGCTCTGATTCCAAAGGGAAGTTGGGAAAAAGAGTAGTTTTTCCTTAGAAAATAAAGAATACCCCACAGACTCACTTCTCTCTGTTAAAGATGACAAAGTCTTGCTGGATAGCTTCAAGGCATTCTTGGAGATAGTCATTTTCCTGTTGAAGAAAAACAATACCGGCATGAGCAGTTCCGTGTGCACCTCAGAGGGCAGCACATGATGCCCAGGAACGCTGGCTGGGGTGGCCCACACTTCCTGATCTCTGCCTTCGTTTTACCTCCTGATCACCTCTGCCAAGGTGCAGTGTTACAGACACACTGAAGTCTGAAGCCAGACACTGCTGCTGCAGCACTCCAGCTCCAAGCACAGCAGGGATGCCAGCCTCCTGCCCATGGTGCCCACTCCTGCACCCCCCGGCACAGGCACAGCCACAGCTGGGCTCCTGCTGGCCGCGGGTCCTGGCAGGCAAAGCACCCCCACCCCTCTGTTTGCAGATTTGCTTATTCTGGGGTTTTCTCCTCCCTCACTTCCCGATTTCTTCTTCATCTGTTTCCAGTAAGTCTCATTGATCGCAGCAGTGGCTCCTGCTGCAGAGGAGGGGATGGATTTAGCAGTTAATTGGCATAGACAAGGAAACAGGCAAAATCGCACCCGGCATTCTGTGCTGCTCTCAGACAGGGGATGAGCCTGACCTCCCTGTGGGGAGCAGCGTGTGTTCCCTTAGCCTGGGGTTTGCACTGCACCGGGGAGCAGGGCTGGTAACATGTGTTCGCCCTCACAGGCCTCCCCACACATCACCCTGACCACAACTCCCCTCACAAACACAACTGCTTTCAGCAGAACCAATACCTGCTCTGCTGCCTAAGGAGGTGCTTTTACTCCTGGGATGTGTCTGCTCTGTAAAACTGAGATTCTTGTGTTCACCTCCCCAGCGATGTAAAAGCATCACAATCCCCACAGTGAAAAGAAGGAACAAATGCACCTCGTCTCTAGCTTAATCCCCTCATGCAGGGAGAGCAAACAGGGGCAGTGGCCCAAACCTGGACTGGGTGTTCCTGTGTGGCCACCATCAGTGCTTGGATAAACTACTGCCAGGTAACACCACCAGCAGCAGTCACAGGCACTGGGCAGCGCCTCTGGGGAAGGTGCAGACAACATGGATGTGGTTTTTAACCTCCTCTCTTGACCAATGTGCCCAGAGCTGCTTCTCCTTTTGTTTTCCAGAGGACAGATTACTGTGAAAGAGTTTTATCAGACTTCTGTAAAAGGAGCATTTGGTTGGCAGAAGACTCCATTGGCAAATGTTTTTATCAAAATCAATCTCATTTACTGCATTGTCACAGTAACTAGAACCACAGAATCCCAGACTGGTTTGGGTTGGAAGGGACCTTAAAGTTCACCCAAGTTCACCCAGTTCCAACCTCCTGCCATGGGCAGGGAC